CTATATATGTAATAAACTATTAATCATAGATCTGTGAACAACAGCAGTTTTTAGCCCCAGTCTGTTGAATATGTTTTCGCACAAAATACTGGCCAATGAAAATATTAGAAATAAATGAGAAGATTAAAGCTGTTGGTTTTGTGAAATGCAATCAGACCCAATTTCTTTCACTTATCTGTTAATACTTATAATTAGGGATGTCCCGATCAGCATTTTAGGCTACCGACCCAATCTTTTAACTTCAAATCCGATCTGATTCCGGGGTTTTGGTCCGATAGTTTGCCTTTACCACTGAAATTTATAAAGCTGAAATATATTTTTTGCAAGTGACTCGAGTTAACTTTTTAAGATGAATTTCATTAATAAGCATTACCATTGTTGATGGAAATCCCATGAAAACAAAATTGTATAGAAAAAGGTCACAAGGCTATGTGCTGGTGTGCTCAATTGTGCCCTCTATTGTCATAGGATCAGAATCACTCTTTTATTTTTGAGTAAAGACCAGGGTGGCAGGAAAATCTATCATGCTGTCAATAGACCCTGTGCAGGAGAAAATGCTAACTTCCTGTTGTGAGACCGTGTGTAGAGTGGTATACTTCCGGTAGCATTTTGCGGTGAATTGCTACTGTGAAGATGGACTCCAAAGTATGAAAAAGGAAAGATTGCGTTCGGTTACAAAGAACACGGGGTGGGCGTAACAGCAGCTCTTGCTTTGCTACTCTTTTTTTTTTCTTTCCTTTTTCTACTGTGTGTGTTTTATCTAATTTTATCTAATTTATCTAAATCTAATGAAGACTGAGGAAACATTTCAGCAGTTAGATTAAGTTGTTAAAATGACAAATGCACATTAGTTTTGCTTTCAGTTTTAATTAATGGACACTAGGGGGTGCTAAAAGCGAGCCAAAACTGCCTAGTATTCCTTTAAGCCACCCTTGCTTGCTTGTGTTCAGATCTATTTAGCCAGGACCCTCAAATGTTTACTGTGACTGACATCTTCCACTTTCCTTCTGATTTGTTAAACATTATAATCTATTAATATACGAGATTACAAAATATGCTTTAGTCGTCAGCTTACGGCTTTAAGACACAGGAATTCAGCCAAATGAAGACAAGTCTCTCTTATTTAGAGCGCAAACAAAACACCAGTGAAGGTAGCAAATGCAAAAACACACTCCACCGAAATGTCTGTGTTCTGTTTAAATAGAGATAAAACAATTTACTGTTATTCCCTGAAGCAACTCTCTGTGGTCTGTCTTCACTTCCTCTCAGTTGCATCTATCATATCAGCTTTTTTTTTGGGGGGGGGGGTATTAATAATTTAAGATTTCATCGTGTTGTGTTATGTACAGTAGGGGCAGGTTTATTTGAAGAAAAAGAAAAATACACTCTGAGGCGAGATAATATTTCTTTATGTGCTGGTGAGCTCTATAAACAAATCTGGCCCAGTGACTCAGAAGCTCCAGAAGGAAACCAGTGAACACAAATTACAGCAGGTTTCTTGACCTGTCTCTCATTATTTTGAGTGACTGTTTATGCATCTGCTTGGTGAACATCAAAATTATGTCTGCAGCCAGCTCTAACGCATGCTTGTTTACCCAACCTATTCCATAGGAAGCTCCAGACAAAAGCAGTTATTCAAAGATGAAGGGAAATAAATGAACTGAAGAATGTTTTTTTTTTTTTTTTTTTTATTGGCTCAGTGGTCACTGAAGTGTGGGAGCAATTTCAATACAATATATGCAGGAAAGGTTTGGATTAGACTTTTGGGTGGGTTCCTTAAAAAACAACCAACATGTGCATCGTTGTGCTTATTTGCACGTGTGTGTGTGTGTGTGTGTGTGTGTGTGTGTGTGTGTGTGTGTGTGTGTGCGCACACACATTTTTCAGAGGAAGGGTGTTTCAAGGTTCGGACAAACGCAAGATTGTCACGCTCATAAAAGAGAGGGGCTCTGTCACAGAGCCTGCCAGCTAAAGGCTTAAATCACATGCCTGGAATACACAATGACATTACACCCACCCACCCACACACACACACACACACACACACACACACACTCCCCCAAATTATGCAGCGTAAGACCATCCCTCCAAGCACCCGTTCCCCACATCTGCTCAAGCTAAAATGTTTGCGTACAGATTCTGAACCTAAACAGATCAAAAGAGGGAGAAATCCGCAATATGGTAAACACTCTGCCTAAATGATCACAGCCACCTTTCTGAGCAGCTTCTTCTCCCAACCAATCTTCCGTCTCACTGAAAAAGATTATATTCATCATTCGGCCTTTGAAAATTACAAACCCTTGCTTTTTCCTAAGTTGTTTTCTCTCATTTATACGTGGCTTGTATGGATTCAATGTCACTGTAAATTCTGATTGTCAAAGAAAAATAGGGAAAACAAAATGATTTAAAAGATGTTGTTCTGGGAAATGGCACTGCGTTTTCTGCTTCCATGTTTGGCATGTTTCAGTAAAGCAGAAGAGGCCCCCTTTTGACAAAATGACAAGTGACAATGCCAGATCAGCAGGAGCCCCGTTTCCTTGCCCGCCTCCTGTGATTGTCACCCCACACAAGGCAGAATGCCGCCACCTACAGGCAGCTTTTATAGCCTTTTAGACACCCCATTTTTCACTGAACCACTTGTGCCTTATTAACACAGGCATAACCCCCACAAGGTGGATTCTGTTTCATATGATAAAAGTATACAGCAAACTTATACACTATTATTGACTAATATAATAATAAAAAAATTAAATAATTGTCCTTGCATTTGGCTGCTGTAAAATGTATACTAAAAATAAAAAGTTTTAACACCATGAAGGTAAGGTTGTGCACAGGCAAGACAAAACATAAGCAGAGCTAATGAACCAACCAGTCATCAATCAAGCTATCTGAGTCAAGTTAGGTACGGCTTCCCCTTTGAAGCAAAAACACTTTGGCTTTTTATGTTTTGTTTTTATCCACAATGCTTTGAATATTGATTCCACACTGAGTAATCCCCTTCAATGCCTTAAGCGGAATAAGACATCATTACATATCACTCATCTCCTCATTCCAACAATTCTCTATTCAGATGAAATAAAGCTCTCCGCTGAGCAGGGTCCTGGCACAGCGGTGACAACGATAAGACCAGTGGAGCTCTGCTGATTTGTTTATATCTTCCCACTCTCCGAGCTAAAGACCAAGCTCAGCCTATCCTCCAGTGCACCACTATAAAACATCGTTAGAGCATCCCAGCTGTACGGAGGACGACTACAACTTGCAGACAGCTACAGTTGCTGCACAACACACAGTTCAAGACAGCAGCACAAAGGTGCCCTTCCGAAATGGGCAGAGCAAACTGACCAGGAGATATGCTCCCCGACATTATCCATCTATTTATTTATTTTTCCCATTTAGCCTCACTGCTGTGGCAACTGTAGTGACAGATGGGCTGAGAGGCCTTGGGATCGATGGAAGGGGAATTCTGTCTTTGTTTCCTGACATTTTTCCCATACCCACTCTTCTGACTCGGGTTACTTACTGTCCACACGAGTGGAGAGAATGGGATGGTGCAGAGAGGAGGGAGAAAAGGGATAGGTTTCTGTACAGCTTCTGAAGAAACTTAATGCCTCGGGCCATCTCCCTCAACACAGGTTCCTATTGAATAATACAATAAAGCAGCCTTGCACGCTTGATGCTTTGAGGGGACCCTGTGTAAATAAGACACTATGGTTTGTGTTTCTCTGACTTGGCAGACAAAAAGCAAGAATGCTTATGAAATGTGTGTGGCAGCCTAGCAGAGTCCAATTCATCATCACAAGATTAGCAGAGAAACCGCCTGTGAAATGGACCAGCATTTCTTTCCTCCCTCACAGCCTTTATGGTCTTTGTGCTGACCTCTGCCCTATGCAGCTGGTTCATAATAAAAGGAGGCCAGCGAATAGGAGGGAGAACAACAGCATTTGCCTCCCTCCCTGATGGGAATCCATCACATCTGATCACAATCATTGTCACAACCACTGCCAGTAAAACTAGTGAGGTACAAATAACAGCAGACAGCTTAACGTAGACACTAATAGGTGAAGTCCATCAGGATGTAAATGGAAAGAGTGCGTGCTTATAGATCTGAACTGGAGCAGATTATTTTTTTCCATGCAGTTTCCTTAGATTAAGTTTGACAGGAGCGATACAAAAACACTGAATTCATTAGAGTAAAAAAAATAAAATAAAATCCCTTAAAATTGGTAGAGGCATCCTTCTAAAGTCTGCCTTAAATACAACAAGAGGTAAACATTGTAAGAGTTAGCATTCCTGTGACTGTCCATTACATGTGGTGTTATACAGCACTGTCTTAAGCAGAGTTTAATCCTTGTCTGCCACGACAGACTTTTAATGGGCTTATGGCCAAAGACAGAGAAGTTATCACGTTAGAGGCTTAAGCACCCTAGTACTCTGCACAAAGACGTATAAAGTAGCCGTGAAAATAAGTGCAATCTCTTAATCTCTAGGAATTTAAACCAGGGGGAAAAACACCCTCAGAAAGAAGTAGAATGGTATGGCATACCAAATGCATAGTATTCTCTGTGTGTAGCAAGTTTAATCTTACAGGTAGCTACTTAATTTACCATGTAGGTGTTTTATACAGCGATTTAAAATGGCATAAAAATGCATATAATTATTGTCATCAAAATGTCTTTTGAGATGTTGTTTCGTTTTAAAATTGTTGCAAAAAATTAAAAAAATCTCTTTCTGTATATTAAAGTTGCAAAATATTTGTGTTGGTGTCACAGGTTCTCTTCTACGAGAACTCCAGAATGGCTGTTTAATCCTTCTAATGCTCACCCCTCCCTCACTTGTTTTTTCTCTCAGTGCTCCCGGTCCCTCTGCCACTGCCTGTCCTTGTCATCTTTTCCCTTCATTTTACAAAACAAGAGGCAAATGCTGATGAGGGAAATGGGAGCTTAGTGATGGTGGTGGTGTGAAGAAAGTGGTGTGGAAGAGAAGAATGCTATTTCTCTTACCTGTATGATGGACATGCGGTTAGTAGGGGTGTCTGTAGTGCTGGTGACTGGGCCTGTGAAGCTGGTGTGGCATCCCACGTGGCTTTGGGGAACGCTGAGGTTATTGGCAGTGGGTTTGAGGTACATGACCTCTGACCTTGGTGAGCTGAGTGGCAGGCGTGTCTGATAGTCAAAGTACATGGGAGAGGTGGCAAGTGAAGGGCTGCTTACCACATTCATCACATTCATGGCATCCCGCTCCTCCACCTCGCTCTGCACCAGCATGATGTCGTTCTTGTTGATCTTCTTCTTCTTGCCTTTCCCCAGCTGAGGGTGAGAATACTCTGCAATGCGACAGTTATAAGTACGAATCTCCTTGTTTTCCCGCTTGCACTTGATTGCTATCGTCACCATGGCAGCTAGAAGCATGATAGATATGATGCTTAGAGTTACTATAAGAGGCAGTGACATGTCCCAGTTTTGATTGTCTTTAATGTGTGGCAGTCCATCAGGAGGTCGCCCATTGGAAGCCTTGATGATGATTCTGGCGGCAGCAGTCAGAGTTGGCTTGCCATGGTCCGATACACGAATGATCAGCTCTACGATGGGACTGACATCATCCCAAAATGGGTGGGCTGTTCGAACTTCCCCTGTTATTGGATCTATCTCAAAGAGATGCTCTTCGTTGCCATCTGAGATTTCGTAGGTGAGCCTCCCACTTTCACCATAGTCATTGTCCACAGCTCTGACTGTGGTAACAATATAGCCCACACCAACATTCCGTGGAACGTGAATCTCAGCTGTATCGTTCAGGAGAAGTGGCAAAACAATGACAGGGATGTTGTCATTGACATCCAGAACACTGATACGCACTGTAGCATTGCTCTCTAGGTGTGGGGATCCTGCATCCTTAGCAAGAACTTTAAAGTCAAAATACTTAATTTGCTCATAGTTAAAAGATCTGACAGCATAGATGGCTCCGTTTGCTGCATTTACGTTAACATAAGTGTTCACATCACCCCCACTTACATTAGAGTTAATAATGCTGTAATAAACTGTGCCATTCTGGCCCAGGTCCGGGTCGTGTGCCAGAACTGAACCAAGGTACTCCCCAGGGATGTTGTTTTCAGGAATCTGAAGTAGGTAGACTGACTTAGTGAAGCGGGGAACATTGTCATTCTCATCAAGAATCTTGACAGTGAAAGATTTTGTGGAGTTCAGAGGAGGAATGCCATTGTCTTTGGCTACAATGGTGACGTTAAACTCGTCCTGCACCTCCCTATCCAGGGGCCTGTCTGTCACTACAGTGTAAAAGTTATCATAGTTTTCCTCAAGTTTAAAAGGGACATTGCCCAGCACTCTGCATTGAAGCTGTCCATTCCTGCCTGAGTCCTTGTCTGTGACACGAACCAGAGCAATGACAGTGCCTGGGGGTGCTGCTTCACTGATGGCTCCCTGTCTCACAGACACGAAGCCTACAGATGGCCAGTTATCATTCCTGTCGAGCACTTTGACGGTGACTTTACAATGGCCTGGGATGGGATTGGGACCCAGATCTTTTGCCTGAACGTCAATCTCAATAACTGGACTCTCTTCATAGTCAATTTCACCCTGAATCTTTATGACGCCTGTTCTTGAATCTATAGAGAAAAGCTCACGGATTCTCTCTGGAGCATAACCACTGAAAGAGTAGACCACTTGGCCATTGTTTCCCTCATCAGGATCTGTTGCATTCAAATCAATCAGAACTTTTCCAGGAGGCGAATTTTCAGGAATTTCCACAACATATGAGGGCTGATCAAACACTGGGCTGTTGTCATTGGAATCAATAACTTTTACATTTATTTGCATGGTGCCTGATCTAGGATACTCTCCACCATCTGTGGCAGACAAAATAAGAGTGTGATGGCTTCTTTCTTCTCGGTCCAGCGGTCGTTGAATAACTAATTCTGGGAATTTGGTCCCGTCCCCTCGGGATTTTACCTCTAAAGAAAAGAGATTGTAGTCATCGCGTGTTATTTGATAGGTTTTCAGGCCATTTTCTCCTGCATCAGGGTCATGTGCACTCGTCAGAGGAAAGCGTGTCCCTGGGACAGCATTTTCCGAAATGTCAATATCGATCTGATCTGAAGGGAATACAGGTGAGTTATCATTGATGTCCTGAATATCTATTTTTATCATACATATCTCCTTGTCATTTGCAAACACCTCCATGGAAAGCTGGCACTTGGGGTTTCTCTTACACAATGTTTCTCTGTCAATGCGCTGCTTTGTGTACAGGAGTCCGCTTTGGGGGTCCACATCAATAAGATGCGGGGCCGAGTTCTCCAGCACCCTGAAGTTGGCTTTTTTACCCTGCCCTCCCTGCCCAGTCTGTTCGAGTCCAAGCCTGGCATCTTTGGCAATGTTCCCAATCACCGTCCCCGGACCTTGCTCCTCTGGGACAGAGTAATTCAAGTTTTTCAATGTCAGGGCTTGAGCCCACAAGAGGAGGAAAAAGAAAACAGAAAGATGCATCTCCGCTCAGTAACAGCTGCTTAAATCTGCGCAGAGGCTTTTCTTTTTACGACCTGTTGATATTCCGTTTGGATTTAGTATTCCTAATATTACAGATAAAATAAAGAGTCCTGGTCATCATGTGATGTCTTGACATTTGTAGATTGTCTTTGATGCGTTGCTTTCCTCCTCTCCAAGAAATCGGTGGAACTGAATGCCTAATTTATATTCAGCTGAGCACCCAGACTCATCTGAACAAAAAATCGAGATCCAGTTTCCAAACAGAACAGTCTTTGCAAGTGTTCACTCATAACACCTAAAAAGGAAAAAAGAGAGAGAGAGAGAGAGAGGGGGGGGGGTTACAAACGTTAAAATGAATCAATTAGCAAATCGAGCAAAAAACAGAAGGAGCTACTCAAGCTACCCCGCCAGAAAGAAATCAGATCTACTGCCAAGCCCAAAATGAAACGAGGCTCATGTGTAATTCATTTGCACAATTATGAGGAAAGCTTGTCAATTAGTTAACCTTGGAAAGACACTCGGCAGCTCAGATACACGGGCAAACAGCAGCCCTGGGGGAGATTTTATAGCCTATATGTTAGAAATCCAACACTCTGGGCGCAGTTTTAATTTGCCTCTGATCGACGCACTGGCTGACCCTACACAGAGACCCTAGCCCGTGCACATGTCGAGGATGCTGACCGAAACTGTAACAGGGCAACTTTAATAACGTGGTTTAACACCACAGGCGTAAAACTGAGCCTGCCCTGGCTATTGTGGCGGCTATTTGAATGAAATGAGCCTTTCACACGCATTAACAAATCCGCATTAATCCCGATGTTTAAAACGAGCCTTATAAAAACTCAGAAATGAGCTGCCAACGTCTCGGCACAGCCGTGTAATTCCCTCCGTCTACGCTCTCTCTCTCTTTCTCTCTGGGAAGCTGTTGCATCCGCATGCGTAAAGGAGCGCCACTGCTCTGGAAATGAGCAACAGACAAGAGCTTCAGGTGGAAAATCCACCTATAGCAGAGGGGACATGGGGATAATAACAAAAAAAAACGCATCCTTACCTGGAGATAAACTGCTCCTTTAGTTGAAAATAATAAGATTAAAAAGAGCCATTTCCAGCGGGGGTTGGAGTTTTATTTCCTAACCACTTCAGCATAGGTACCACCCGGATCCCGATTCGCACCAGGAGAAAAGCCACAAGCCTCCGACGCACACGCGCTCTACAGTGCAGCGCGCTGAGAATAAGAGGGGGGAGAAGAAAAAAAAGTGCTCCAAAGTATGACTGTAATGTCAATGAGCTGAAGTCCTCTCCGCTGTCTGATTAAGATGCAGCGGCTCGTCTTCTGCCTGCAGTGAGTCACCGTTCTCCAGGATGGAAAACTGTTAGAAATGCTGTGTGAAGAGGGAGAAAATCCAAATGTGTGAGGAGGTAAATCCAAAGTGGTCACTTTGAAGGATATTCAGTGTTTTCTTCCTTCGGCCGAGACAGGACAGAGTTCTGGTTTCCGTAGTGGCATTTTGTCCTTGTCCATCGTCCCCCAGCCAAATCAAAGTCCCGACAGCTGCCGTGAAGGTGGTCAGCAACAATGCAGCATTCTGACTCAAATGTCCCTCCTGCTGTCAGGTGAAAAAAAGAATTAAAAAAATTAAGAATGTTATTGAACAACACACGCAGAGTCGTTGCTTGCTATTTTCAGCACGTAGGACAGCCCTGAGCTCTCGGAGCGCTTCCTCTCACTGACTGGACTCCGGACACCGCATGGTGCATTAAACATTGTCGCTTCTCCGGTGGCAGCCAATGAGTTTGAAGAGGTGGGAAGAGGAGGAGGGATTCAAAAGCCGCTGTGGGTGCAGACTACAAATGATTGGTGGGTCTGAGTTCACCGGTGGCGGAGCTGGCTTTTTTCAAAAATCACACTTCATTGTTGCGCAGGGCTACAATAAAAGGAAACGGTGCGTTGAGCACGGTCACCAACGGATGTGCTGAGGCCAAAACACGAGTGGTTTGAATTTTCAAATAGACTTAAAAGAAAACAACTGATCTTCCACTCCTATTATGGAGTCTATTTACTGGCCAAGTCTAATTACACAGTTTTGCCCAATGAAGCAACAGAAAACAGTTTTGTACATACTTATGAATGTGGTTTCTAGTAATGAATAGTTAGTAAATATTAACAGCGTAGAAATCTAATTTTATTTTGGATTGTTGATACAAAAACGAATTATCTGTAGTATTCGTGATGTTTTTTTATTGTAAATAAGTAAAACTACACAAAAAATTAAAGATTACACAAACATCTTAATGTTGATGAGCGGCTGGAAGACAAATGATGAGTCTGTCAGGTGGAAATTCTTTGTTTAATGAGTCAATTGGTGGAAATGCTTAAATAATTCAGATTGCATGTACAAGATTAAGTGACATCAACACATCAATGATAATATATTTTTAAAAAACATAAAACATTTTTCCCCTCCATAGGCTATCTGATGGGGCGGAGTCCCAGTGCTGCTATAAGACACACATACTTAGCTGTGTTGCTCATTTCACAAAATAAATGTTTTAATAAGTCACCCTTTATAGGTGAATAGTCAGGCTCTCAGTCACCCATTATCTGAACCGCTTAGTTTTCAGTAGGGTTGAGGGGAGCAGGTGCCTATCTCCAGCATTTATCAGGCGAGAGGTGGAAGACACCCTGAACAGGTTTCCAGAAAAAAAAACTGCCACACATGCATTAACACCTAGGCACAACTTGGAGTCACCATGACCTAGCCTGCAGGTTTTTGGACTGTGGGGAAAAGCCAGAGGAGAACACCCCTGCATGCACAAGGAGAACATACAAACTCTGCACAAGGTCCCAGTCAGGATTCTACCACCTGAGCTATCAGGTGATCAGAAGTAGCTCAGGAGGTGGAGCAGGCTGTCCAGTAATCGAAAGGTTGCAGGATCTATTCCAGCTCCCGGCAGAGAATGCTGCTGTGGTGTTGTTGGGCGAGACACTCAACCCACATATACTGCTGGTGGTGGTTGGAGGGACTCATGGTGCGAGTGCTTGGCTGCCTCGCCTCTGTCAGTGCACCCCAGGGCAGCTGTGGCTATATTGTAGCTCATCAATACCTTGTGTGAAGGTATTTACAATGTAAAGCATCTTGGGGGGTAGGCCTCTAGAAGGCACTATATCAAATGCAAGGCATTTACTGTTCAAACCTGAAACCTTCTGGCTACAGGGCAACCACCATGCAGCCAGACTAATCAGACTTTATTATAAAATAGAAAAACACCAAATGGTTTGATTAAAGGAGAGAAATGACTATCCATAATAAACTTTTCAACTACTTTTATACTGTACTTAAAGGTGTTGCATCATGCTATTTTACACCTTCCAAAGAAGAAGAAGAAAAGATCTTTTCTATAGCGCCTCTCAAGATGAAAATCATGAGGCGCTTCACAAAAACCAAAAATGTAAACTATAAAAAATAATTTGGAAAATGATTAAAAATATATTTAAAATGAGCAAAAATAGACCATTGTGATTAAAAAATGTAAAGAAAAAGAGAGAGTGAATAGGAAGGAGGGAAATCAGTGGATCCTGAGGAAGGTGGAATAGGTGGGGAGAGAAGAACAGTGATGAAGCGAAGAAGGTCATACAAAAGCCAGCTAGAACAGGTGAGTTTTCAGCTGCTTTTTAAAGGAGACCACTGAGTCCACTGATCTCAGGCTCAAGGGGAGAGAGTTCTAGAGTCTGGTGGCCACAGCAGCAAATGATCTGTCACCTTTGGTCTTTAGCCTGGTGTGCTGCACTACCAGCGCACCAGGCACCAAAGAAACAGTAGGCACAATATATGATAAAATATTATCATTGGCACTATTGAGATGTCATTTTTTTTTTCCAAAGTATCAGCTTTTTTGTCACACAGCCTTCTCGGAAACGCTGAAATCTCTGAGAATGTGGGTGGGACAAAAGACACGCTAAGAAGCCCGTAGTGTCCCCGTTAAGTTGGTAAACCAAGGCGGCTGTGAACAGTGTTGCTTTTGGAGACTCAGACTCTGCTATAGCTTTATGCTCCCTTTCCCAGTGAGACTGCGGTGTGCACCTCACAGCAGTTTGTGCTTGCACTGCCACGACTGGAGCAGAAGTTCCCAGCTGCAGTCGAAGATGTTTACTCCCCAGCATTCAGAGAGATAGTGAATCGCGCATGCTGGAAGCCTCTGCTAGGTGGTTCTACCTGCCAGTCAGAGGTTCCCCAAAGGTAGACGTGAATTTCAGCTGGCCTGTCAGTCGCTAGTGGGTGTGTTGGGTCAGATCAGCCCAAAGCGGACCGCTGGAGGACGAGGTCTGAAAAAATGGTCGATTGAGCACAGAAAACACACAAGCTATCCAGATGTGAACACAAAATACCCTACCATCGCCCCAGTACGCTCCTGGGCAGCAGTGGCTATATTGTAGCTCATCACCACCAGCGTGCGAATGTGTCTGTGAATGGGTGAATGTAATGTAAAGCGCTTTGGAGTCCTCTGACTCTGAAAGGCACTATATAAGCATGGATCCTTTATCATTATCATTCGTTTACTAGGGTGGGCCTGTTCCCAGATGTGAAAGCCCCATAAGATGCTCGGATATGATGGAATTCTGCCCCCACCCGTGTGAATTCCACCCATTTCATAATTCTAGATCAACCAGCAAAGCAGCTTCTGCAACATGCCAGCAGTGGTTAACTGTCCATCAGAAGCACCAAGACATTTCCCTGTGGAGAAGTATTTCTGGAGTGCTGTTTCAGTGAGTAAAGTTAATGTTTCTGTAGACGCTATTGTCTCTTCGGTCCTGTGGAAAGTGATGGGACTACACCGGTCTGACGTGGCATATGTAATGTCAAAAGAACGCTCCCCCAAGCGTTTGAATTTGCTTACCACTGTTTACTTTGATAAATATAACTGCATGGACTTCTTGTTATACCAAGTCATGCTGTAGGGGAATCCACACGAAGTTACTTCCGAGCAGTCATGCTCACCTGTGGGACAGCAGAGACAGGGACATGCATCAAGCCAAAAACCTCTTTGGGATATTTTTAATGAGGAAATAGCAATATGACATGATAGAAAGCTCCAAAAAGTGGATTTGACATGATATTGAACCTTTACATTTAATAGTACAACTCACATTTATTTTTTAAAAAGCGATCAACACACAGATGTCCATTTTTAGATATTTTTTAGCAACTATAAAAAGAAGTTTTGATGAGTTTTAAAAAGTAAGGAAAGTGCCGTATAAAACTTTCAAAATTATGAAAGGCTGGCAGGCTGGAAGGCATAGAAACATAGTTCAATGAAGGACCTCTTCATACATGAAATCTGGAGGTTTAGGTAGACTCTAAAGCTGAAGTTCACACATTCACTTCACAGCAGGAGACTTATTTTTGTCATTGTTCTCACAACAGGCAAGTCTCTAGTGACGTGCTGGGGGGAGCATACAATGAGCTGTGCATAATGGAAAAACATATACTACAGAAATTGCAGCCCTGTATTTATAACACAATGAAAGCAGCACATTTAGCTCTGGAATAGTCTTCTCCGATGACTCTGCTGATAACTTTACACCTACATGTAAACTCAGCCAAAAGGTAGATTGTAGAGTACAAGTCTGCCGCAGGACAGTCTGAAGCAGGATGGACTTTAACAACTCCATGGAGGCTTCTCATGAATGCACCAGACTTAGCATTAAATGCTTGGTTTAAATAAACTTTATAAATAAAGTTTAGGTTTTGTTGAATTGTTTCAATCTTGTTTTAGACATTTTTTTTGTAAAAGGAGTAGTAGTAGTAGTAGTATTAGTTGTATTAGTAGTAGTAGTAGTAGCAGCAGTAGCAGCAGGAGTAGTAGTAGTAGTAGTATTAGTTGTATTAGTAGTAGTAGTAGTAGCAGCAGTAGCAGTAGTAGTAGTGGTAGCAGCAGTAGTAGTAAATGGCCTGTATTTGATATAGCACCTTCTAGGATCCTGGAACCCCTCAAGGCGCTTTACAACACAATCAGTCATTCACCCATTCACACACACACATTCACACACTGGTGGGGATGAGCTATGATGTAGCCACAGCTGCCCTGGGGCGCACTGACAGAGGCGAGGCTGCAGAGCACTGGCGCCACCGGTCCCTCCGACCACCACCAGCAGGCAACGTGAGTTAAGTGTCTTGCCCAAGGACACAACCACAGCGACAGACTGAGCGGGACTCGAACCTGCAGCCTTCTGATTACGGGGCGAGCACTTAACTCCTGTGCCACCGTCGCCCCAGTAGTAGTAGCAGTAGGAATAGTTAGCAGTAGTAGTTGTTGTAGTAGTAGCAGCAGTAGTAGTAGTTAGCAGCAGTAGTAATTGTAGTAGCAGTAGTAGCAGCAGTAGTAGCAGTAGTAGTATTAATAGTAGTAGCAGCAGTAGTAGTAGCAATAGTAGTAACAGCAGTAGTAGCAGTAGTAGTAGTAGTAGTAGTAGTAGTAGTAGTAGTAGTAGTAGCAGTAGTAGTAGCAATAGTAGTAGCAGCAGTAGTAGCAGTAGTAGTAGTAGTAGTAGTAGTAGTAGTAGTAGTAGTAGTAGTAGCAGTAGTAGTTGTATTATTAGCAGCAGTAGTAATAATACATTTATTCCTACTATGAAGATTTACTTCTTAGTAGGCCTATTGTAAACAACAGATAATTAAAATAGCTGAAATAATATCAGAAAAATGAAGAAGATGCAAAGAAGCAAATAAAAACCCAAGTTCAATCACAAATCCAAAAAGGGTTGGAAAGAACTGAAAACTTATTTCAGTGGCAGGATTTTTTTTGTCCTCATCAACATAAAAAGATTTTAGCTGCTCAGTTGCCAAACCTTTTCCTGCTCATTTGAAATCCATTTTGGGAAATTGCAGTGTTAGAATGGCACAATGGTC